GATCAAAATCACATTTACAAAAAAGGGTATATTAAGCCTTTATATAGCTGAGTCACCTAATCTGATTTTCTTTGCACTGAGCGAATCATTGTAAATCACTGGGATTATAAAATATAGCACTTCTGTTTGATGATAAAGGAGTGGAAAAAGGTTCAATATTCTTCACAATAAAATAATAAATAAAATGCTCCTGGTAAAAGCAACATATTCAGAAAATGCAGGCAGACAAAAGAAGAGTTGATGAAATTCCTAACTCACATGTTAGTTTTAAACTATAGATAACTTTGTTATATGGGGAAATGGTTATGCAAATATTTAGTATTTAGTTTGATTACTTGTATTTTTAGTAACACTTTATAGAAAAGTTGTCTTTACCTATGGATGATTCCATGTCTATGAAGGTAGTCTAGAGCCAGTGCTACTTCAGATATGTATTTCAAAGCCATGTCTTCATCAAAATAACCATATATATGTAGGAGAGACTTGACATCTCCACCAATAAGATATTCCATTACCTAATAAAAAAGAACATAAATATTGCAAAATAAAACCATTATAATTGCCTTAAAATATACTATTTAAATATTAAGTATACATTTTTAGCTTGGACCTATAAGAACCACATTTTCTTGGTATCATTCAGTATACATTAATTCCAGGTTTGCTCATGTTGCCATATAGTTTTTTTTTGCCACATTTGCTTTCCTCTCCACATATATGAATATAAAATATTTGTTATTTGTTAACATAATTGCTATACGCATAAAACACAATTGTTAACCTCACTAACATATTTACCTTATATGCATTTGTGTTTGTTCAGATGAAATAGTCTAATTAAAAAAAACTATATGAAAATATTGGCAGGTAATATTAAAGTGGAAGTATTTTTGCTGAAAAATTAGAAAATAAAGTTGAAGAGATCATGACCTGTTCACTTCTAAATTCTTCATCATGACCTTATTAATAGCACATCTTCTCATCCCCCATCCCCATCATTTTGCAAATGTTGAGAAAATGAATCCAAGCAACGAATCAAAGGATGCTACAACCATTACATGAAAGGGGGGCCTGGAGATAGGAAATGGATGAATCATATTTGATAAAGTGTTGATGACTGATGACTGGTGAAACTGGGTGACAGATAAATGTGAGTTCATTACATTAATCTTTCAACCTTTGTTATACTCAAATTGTTTATATAATAAATGTTTTTAGGGCCTTCCCAGTGGCGCAGTAGGTTGAGTGCACACTGTGAAGCTGTCTGTAGCCTCTGCAGCGCTGGTTCAATTCCTGGCCAGCCAGGGAGATTCCCACATGACGTGGCAGACCTCTTCTGTCGTGCCCACTGCTCCCCTCAGCAGTATATTTTGGTCATCTGCCTGTTCTGCTCCCTGCTCTGTCTCTGATGAATCCTTTCACCCTCCCATGCCTCTGGCCTGTACCCCAGCTCTTGTATAAAAAATAATTAAAAAAAATTTAAAAAACAATAAATAAATGTTTTCGTCCTTATATTCCTTGTGCCTAGTATAATACCTAGCTTGCAAGTACACTATTTGCTCTCATTGTGGTTAGGTTTGGTCATGCCTTATCTCTACCTCAAAGTAGTTTTTTGTTTCTAGGAAATCTTTCATTTATGTAAACCGTGCTTCTCACACTTCAATGTTTGTGGGATCTTGCTAAAATTCAGATTTTGATTTAGCAGATTTAGACTGTACTTGAGATTCTGTGTTTCTACAAAGCTAACAGATAATGTTGGCACTGCTTGTCTGTAGAGCACAGTTTCAGTATCAAAGATTTAAGCTGATGATGAAGTCAGTAGACAAGATATGGCCCCCTACCTGATTCCAGGAATAGAAAATAAAAAATGCCATGTTGCACACTGATGTGAAGATATAAATATTGGGGTGGGGTGGAGGATCGCCTAAATTGAAGAATTCCACCCAGTTATTCAAACTCCACTAGCATTGGGGAAACTCCTGGCTGCCACAGTGTTATGTCAGGCTTGATGCTGCAGCCAGTCATGGCAATGGGGCAAGCACCCACACTCTGCATATGAACAGTATATAGTAAAGGCAATATAGAATTAAAGGATTAAATAGCCCCCACTTCCTTTGCAATAGCATGAAAGTTTCCCTCTTTTTCTGTAGAGACAGATAGTAAATATTTTAGACTTGTGAGCCATATGAACTATTACAACTACTTCACTCTTCAGTATAGCAGGAGCATAGCCATGGGTCACCACTTGCCAACCACATACTTAGAAAATGGAAAGTTGATTATTCTTATTTATTATTCTCAGAAGAACCTTTAGAGTTTGTAGTCAAGTCATCTGCTAGTTCCATCTTTTCCTGTGCCCCCTCAGCTCTTCATTAGAATTAATAGAATGTAAGCTACTGCTTTATAAAGCAAGTCTCAAAATTCACTGTTTCCTAACAGCTTTCCTTACTGTACACCAAACTTTATATCAAGTATTTTTTTTTTTTAAATAGAGGCATGTTTTATTTATTTATTTGTTTGTTTGTTTGTTTCTTTGTTTATACATGCACTGGGTACAGTCAGAAGCGCGGGAGGGTGAGAGAATTCACCAGAGCCAGAGCGGGGAGCAGAGCAGGCAGAAGGACCAAAGTACACTGCTGAGGGGAGCAGCGGGCGGCAGGAGAGGTCTGCGCGCCATGTGGGACCCTCCTCCAGTGGCCGGGGAGCAGCTGGGGATCGAACCAGCGCCGCAGAGGTCGCCGGCAGCTTCGCAACCCAGCGCTCAACCGCTGCGCCACCGGGGAGGCCCTATATCAAGTATTTTTATGTCTCATGCTAATCAAATATTTTAGCTCTATGTACCACCACTGTTCTACATGCTTTCTATTAACCCACGAAAATTAACCTCAACCTTTGAGGTAGGTACTGTTATGTCCATTTTGCAAATGAGAGGTATGAGAGTTAATTTTATACATAAACTTGGCTAGACCATGGCACTCAGATATTTGTTCAAACAATCACAACATTTCTATGAAGCTGTTTTTTAGATGAGACTAATGGATCCATTGCTAGATTTTTGAATAAAAGTTGATTAGCCCCCTTGTGGATGGGCCTTATACAATCAAGTTGAAGGTCTTAAGAGAAAAAAAACCTAAGGCATCATCACTTCACCACCACTAAGAGGAAATTCTGCCTCTAGACTGCTGTGAGAATTGAGCTGCAAAATCAATTCTTCTTTAGGCTACAGCCTACTGATGTATGATATACCCTGTAGATTTCAGATTTGCCAGTCCTCACAATCACATAGGACAATTCCTTAAAATAAATTCCCCTCTATCTACACACACGTGAGCCCCCCCACCCCATTACATCTTTTTCCCTGGAGAGTCTTTTTAAAAAAAAAAAAAAGATTTATTTTTATTTATTTATGCAAAGAAGAACTGGGGTGTAGGCCAGAGATGGGGGGAGGGGAGAGGAGTCAACAGAGACAGAGTGGGGAGCAGAACTGGTGGATCTACTGAAATACACTGCTGAGGGGAGCAGTAGACAAGACAGGAGAGGTCTGCTGAGCCATGTGGGTTAGCTCCCTGGCCGACTCCGGCCATAACAATGGATGATAGCATAACAGCACTGAGACTTAACCCCTATGCCACCAAGGAAGCCCTCTTTTTCCCTGGAGATTCCTTGACTAACACAACAAGTAAGGTAACTTGGCCAAGATTATAAAGTTAGTAAGCACAAGAGTTGGAATTTAAAAACTAGGTACTCTGAATCCAAAGACTGTATTCTTAAATCAATGGGATCAGTGATTACTGAAAGAAGAAAATGTAAAATTATTTACTTACCAAGTAGATATTGCTTGCTGATTGCAACGAATAGTACAAATGGACAATAAAAGGACTTTTGCTTAGTGCCAGCGCATCTCTTTCAGCTTGTATCTGATGAGTCATATTTTTGTTGATCATATCTGCTTTTTTGACAACCTAGATAACATGACAACGGACATTTTGTTTTTTTATTACAAGGTATTCTCAGGTATCGAAGTTGCCATCATGAAAACAACCAGAGATAAAACACATAGATGGCATTTTGGACCTCATACTGCCACAGGGAACTCTGCCAGAAACACAGCTAATATTGTAAAAACAAAAACGAAGCATTCTTTAATGGAGAACTACTTATTTTGGGATCAAGTGGCAAGAGTATCATATCCCTTTTGAGTACGAAAAAGAGATAAACAATTGGTCCCTGACAATTGAATTTAAGACAATCTTTACTTCTTTCTTGACCTAGAGATGACTGGGAAAAAAATCTGTTGAGCTGATCTTTTAACAAAATCAAAGGATAGTGATGTTTCTAATAAGTTCCCAGATAACAGGAAACCTAGGCACAGAGAAATAGTAGCTTATAATTTTTGTAAGAGCTGATTCTTTGATGATGTGAATAGTCAGAAAGAGTGAGAATGTGGGAAATTTGTCTGCACAGGAGAAAAATAAATCTTAACAATGGTTAGATTTACTGGAACTTGACACTATCAATGCTATCTTACAGAAAGTACTAGTGACTCCTTTTCAGTTTTAAGGTAATTAGTAAAGAAGGAAAACTATAATCTACATTAAAATTTATGCACTAAACTAAATAGTAACAAGGGCATCAATTTTCAGGGATACAAGTGAAAGAGGGCATATTCCTTCCAAAGGAAGGAATATGATTCATTAATACATTGCAAATACCAGTTTTACAACCCTTCATTAAGAAAACTAAAGGAAAGTCAGAAATCTAGTCTGTAACATGGTTTCACCTACCATTCCACTGTATTACAAGCCCTACAGAGGAACATTCTGTTTACCACTGAACCCCAGATACAGCAGCGGTCATGAGAGAGGAATGGAGAAAGGAAACACAGGAGGTTAACAAGGCACAGGTTTAGTGCCTGCTAAAGAGTCACATAGCAATGTCCAACCAGATGTTGAAACCACCTCCTGACACTCAGGTGCCTGGCTTCTTCCCTTTGTCATGTTCACTCAGTGCTGAAATGTGAGTAATCTGAAACTATGGGAGTGAATGAGAATCAAAAGATGCTAGAACAGTTTCAGTAATATTGAAAGCTAGGCTTTTGGAATGATACCTCCTTCTGCCAAGAATAAAGGACTGATTTGGGACATATCTCAGATTAGTCCTTAAGATACAATATCATTTTATAATTGAAGGTCTGAGAAGAAAAAAAAATGAGTAAAATGAGATCTTTGGGCTACACAGATCAGAAATTAATCTCTAACGGACAGAATTAAAATATAATCTGGAAATAATGTTTCCAATTTAAATATTCAAACGTAATCGGGTAAAAGATTACCCAGAAGCTCTCCAAAATCTTTCCAAAGCATTCGCAGTGAAGAGAAGGGCGGGGCACAGGAGATTTGGTACTTGCCTGAGCAGATGGCACCCCAAGTGAGAAGTCAGCCTGCTAGGTTCTGGAGTTTCAGCAAGCCAGGCCACCCCATGCAGCCTGGGGCCAGCCCAATTCAGGGGGCAGGAAGAAAGCCCGAAGGCCTCCATGCCGCCCTTCCCCCTTTATTTACACCCCTTCTTACCTTCACCGCGTACAACTTGCCTCCTTTCTGCCCCAGGTACACCTTCCCGAAGGCGCCACGGCTAATGGGCTTCACTATGTTGAATTCCTCTATGGAGGGCGGTCTGGGCACCGGAATCCTATTCGAACCTGGCGCTGAGGCCGCGTCTCCCCCACTGTCCTCCTCGCTGCCCGCGGAGGGCTCCATCACAGCCCACCTCACAGGGAAACCCGCGGTGGCCGCCCAGGCCCCTCCCGAGCAGCCACTCCCGCCAACTGGGTTCAAAGTGAGGCCCCGCCCCCGCCGCGCGCCGTCGTGACGTCACCGCGCAGCGCCCGGGCCGCCGGGCCCAGCGGGCGGGTGTCCCACGGGCCTCGCCTTCCGCGGCGCCCAGGAATGGAGTGGGCGTGAGGGTGGGGGTGCTGGGTCGAGTGGGCGTGAGGGTGGGGGTGCCGGGAAGTTCGCGAATCGACCAGACTTCTCGGGAACAGTAACCGCGGTGGATTTACCTCTTTCGTGAAGCCGGGGGTGTGGGGCTCACAAACGTTTCTTGGGCGACAAGAAAGCATCAAGGGCGACTTGAATGTGATTCGTGGAATTTTTTTTTTTTTTAAGATTTAGTTATTTATTTATACAAGTGTTAGGGGGAAAAGGATGTCCCAAAGCTAATTCCATACAGGCTTTGTGGACTCCACCCCCACCCCAGGCCAAAGCCAAAGACACTGGGAACTCCAAATCCCATCCCCCAAAGGGAAGGTGGCTGGGACCTGAGGGTGGGGTTAAGCAGCCAGGTGGATATAAAAGGCAGACACGTGGGCTTTGGGGATCCCCCATTTTTGGCTCTCGGCCAGCTCGCAGCCTCAGGCCAGCTCTGAGAGTGACTTTGGGTTTCCAGGTGGTCGGATCTGGTAGGATGCATTAAAGACTTTATTTCCCTATTTTCTCCCTGAGTTGTACATTTTCCTTATTTCCTTTTCTCTTGTAAATAAACCTTTTATTAACCTTTTGTGTGTGCCTGTAGTGGAGTATTCATAAGTCCCTTTAAAGCGCGCGGGTGAGGACCCACAGCCAGGAACCCGTTCAATATCGGGGTTGCTCTATAACACAAGCACTGGGTACAGTCAGAAGCGCGGGAGGGTGAGAGAATTCACCAGAGCCAGAGCGGGGAGCAGAACAGGCAGGCTGACAAAGTACACTGCTGAGGGGAGCAGCGGGTGCGGCAGGAGAGGTCTGCGCCCCATGTGGGACCCTCGCCCTGCAGCCGGGGATCGAACCAGCGCTGCAGAGGCTGAGGGCAGCTTCGCAGCCCAGCGCTCAACCGCTGCGCCACCAGGGGAGGCCCTGATTCGTGGAATTTGAAGGTTTCGCCTGACCTCCCTGTCATCGTCTCACTTACTTTGTTTAAACTCTTCCCGACTTCACATTTGCGCAAGACGTGTTCAGGATGTGTTCAGGAGAGGGGTGGCTGGTGAAATCCCGGAATGTGGAGAGACCGGGTGAGCAGGAAGAGGGGGCTGGCCCTCTGAGCTGGCAGAACACGGTATAGCTCTCCAGACTGAAGCAGAGCTTGGTTCCAACTGGAGGAGTTTTTTTATTTATTGTGGGGGAAGATAGAGAACACTAAATTGTAGCCAAAGAGCTTATACATAGCTCAAGGCCGACTGGGACAGAATACACTGGAAGAATTGGTTAGGAAGCTAGAGAAAGTCACTCCTAATAGGGTCGATGCTGTTCTTCCTTAAAAAAAAAAAAAATAAATAAAATCCGGGCCTCCCTGGTGGCGCAAGAGGTTAAGCACCGCACTATGAAGCAATCCGCAGTCTCTGCAGCACGCAGTCTCTGCAGCACGCGTTCAATCCCCGGCCAGACAGGGAGAAACCGACATGGCGAGGCAGACCTCTCCTGGCTCGCCCTCAGCAGTGTATTTCACTCCGTCTGCCTGTTCTGCTCCCCGATTTGTCTCTGGTGAATCCTCTCACTGCACCCCCCCATCTCTGGCCTGTACCCCAGCTCTTATATGCGTAAATAAATAAATCTTAAAAAAAAAAAAGAAATCCACTAACTCACATCATACCAACAGTTAATTTGAATTGCACCTAGTCTTAATCCAGAAGCAAAAATAATAAAACATTTACAAAAACACAGAATGTATTTACAAACTCTGACAAAATGATTTATAACACAGAACACAAATATACAAGCCATTTTGTAAAAAAAAATAGACAAATTGTACTTCATCAAAATTAATATTTGGGGGTTCCCCCGGTCGCCTAGAAGTTAAGTCTCAGCACTCTCACCCCGATGGCCTGAGTTCGATCCCCAGCCTGGGAGTTAACCCACATATGGCACAGCAGACCTCTCCTATCTTGCCCCCTGCTCCCCTCAGCAGTGCATTTCAGTCAATCTGCCTGTTCTGTTCCCCACTCTGTCTCTGGTGAATCCTCTCACCGCCCCCCCTTCTCTGGACTGTACCCCAGTTCTTGTATGCATAAATAAATATTACAAAAAAAAAGAAAGAAAAAGAAAAAGAAATCCTCAGCCAGGGAGCTGTGGGCTCCCAGCACGTACACCATCCACCGAGAACTAGAGCTACTTTGGGGGGCGGTGGCCCTCAGCAGCCGGGCAGAAGCGCCGGCCCCCAGAAGGCGGGGCCCGGCGGGGTCGGGTGCGGGGGTGCGGCTGCCCCGGAAGTACTGTGGCCCAGCGCCTCGCCTTCCGGGCCAGAGTGTCTGTGTCGTTGCAGCAGCTGTAGGAAGGAGAGGCCATTTTCCGTTTCTAAGAAGAGTCTGGGGCAAAAAGAGGTGGGGGAGCGAGGGGGCCAAGAGGGCTCAGCGCCTCCCTGCCGAGCCGCGAGCGCACGGGGAGTTTCGGCCGGCGGGTGAGGTGGCCGAGGGCCCGGAGATGTTTTCTCTGTCCAGCACGGTGCAGCCCCAGGTGAGTGAGGGATCCCGTCTGTTTTGTCCCGCCCTGCCTGCGGCTTTTTGCCATTTGTGTTTCGTGGGAGAAGTTTCTCGTAAGGGACCGAGAGGGACGTGATGAGCCCAACAGCAGGCCCGGGGTTGAGAAAGTGCATCAGGGGCAACGCTGAGAGTCGGGCCTGAGGTTTAGTAAAGGTCTGATGATGAGAGGGAGGTGTTGGAGCGTGATGCAGACCTTGGCTGATGGAGTTGATGGCGTGGAATTTTTGCTGGAGAATCAGGCATTGTTCATTGCCGGGCATTTTGGGGTGGCGTTGGGGAAACATCTGGGCCATTCGTATATGTAGAGAGAGCGAATAGTGGTCGCTTTCCGGCTTTCCCACCCCAGTGACTTTAGTATTCATCACTTTAATTCCCTGTTTTCCCTTTAAGTGGAATTTCATCCAAACGTGCTATAACAACAGCAATGAAGAATGAATAATCTACCACGAATGCTTTCCCGATTTTGACCTGAAATGGTTTTTTTATGTCTTTGTGTAGCTATTTCAAGGTACTGACTGCTTTGCAGTTAAAATTTTGATTCAGTCTCCTCCCCATCCTTTCGTAAAGCAAAAGAGAGGGTAGCACAAAAGTGATTACGAGGCTTTTTAATCATCTTCTTTCAGAGTAATCATTTGTGACCATAGTTGCCTTCTTGGTTTATTTTCCTTCTTGGTTTAAAAGTCGATGGTGACATTTTGGTAACTTTTGGAAGGTTCTCACAGTTTTTGCAGATGAAGGGTTTTGGGAAAGCATTCAGGTTTAAAAATAATTTTTTGATTCTTAAGTTTCTTGGCTTCAGCAGGCAATTATGTGCCTTTGGATACCCTTTTTGTCAGTATTGGCTGGATAATAGAAACTGAAGTCATAGGAAGTGATACTTTGCGAGCATTAGTACTGCACCAGATGAACAAAGCAAATGTGGAATCTTGATACCAAATAAAAGATGAGTGAGTAGGAGTAAACTCTTCACTTAGCCAGGTGATGAGTGAAGGGAAGGGAACAGGTACCCCAGCAGAAGGATATCCGGAGGTCCTCAGATGGGAAGAACTAAACTGATTGGAAGAACAAAAATAAGGCGTTTGTGACTGGAGAGTGGTGATGAAAGGGGCACAGTGACAGAAATGAGGTGAAGCCTTGAGTCAGATCATACAGAGTTATAATGGACTTTGGATTTCGTTTTAAGAGTCTTGGGAACATTGAGTGTTTTTAAGCACGGAGTAACCTGACCGGTTTTCGTTTTTGATAGATCACTCTGGCCTCTACCATATGGAGACTATGGAAGGACCGAGTGAAAGTGTTTTCAGTTAGGGCTGCTGTTGTAGTAATCCAGGAGGGAGAATGCACCAGTCAGGTGGTGGCAGTGGTTATGGAAAGGAATGAGATTTATTTTGAAGAACAAAGTTTATGAGGGATTGGAAATAAGGGATGATGTAAAGAATTTAATTAGCTGGTTTATTTAGCTGGATGCATAAAGGTGTTATTTACCAAAGTGACAACCCAGATGACTGTAGTCATGAATTAGATTATCTGAGGTAGAGCCCTTGTGCCAGTATTTTCTAGTTGTGTAACTTTGAACATGCTGCTGAACCTACCCAAATTTTTGCATTTTTCATCAGTTAAATAGGAAGTATAATAGTATTTTTTATGACTGTTATGAGGTTTAAATGAGATAATGTAAGAAACCATATACTATAAAACCTGGCATATGGTAAGAACCTGTTTTTTTTTTTTTTTAAGATTTATTTATTTATTTATACAAGCACTGGGTACAGTCAGAAGCGCGGGAGGGTGAGAGAATTCACCAGAGCCAGAGCGGGGAGCAGAACAGGCAGACAGATGGAGGACACTGCTGAAGGGAGCAGCGGGTGGCAGGAGAGGTCTGCGCGACATGTGGGACCCTCACTGGCAGCGGGGGATCGAACCGGCGCTGCAGAGGTTGCGGGCAGCTTCACAGCCCAGGGCTCAACCGCTGCGCCACCGGGGAGGCCCGAACCTGTTTAATTTTTTCATGTACTCAACAGATATTTATTTAGGAGCAACTGTGTGCATTGCTACACTGGGATATAGTATTGAATAAAATGGAGAAAAAGAAATTATAAAATATGTAAATTGTGTATTATGTGAAACCATTTTATGTTGAGTAAGTAATTATATAAATAAAAAAGAATACTAAAATAGAAGGGGAAATCCCTTTGCCACCTGTAGCTTACATTCTAGTGGGGGTGTATGGTATGATAAAAAATAAATATGTGGTCACTGTTCCACTTCTTAGCATAGAACCCTTGGAATTTCATGATTGATAGAT